TGGAAGCTTGATGGCTTTGTGGTAGGAGGGGGGCATTGTGTCTTGGTTTATGGCCTGTAGCTGGCAGAGTATCAGATCAGGACTGAGATAAGCCTGGCACCAAGGTGGGCATCTGGCTGGCATTGAGTGAAAAGGTGACAGGTGCATCAGTGTGGAAGAAAGGAATCGGATGATCACAGTTTGTATATGTGTGGTCAGGGGGCCTTTACCTAGAAGATATATACACACCTGGGTAATCTGGGAACATGGCAGATAAGCCTTTCTCAGCTAGAGTTCCTTCAGAGGTTGTTAGGGGTTCCTTGAGCAGTTGTCAAGTTTGGTTTCTCAGATAATAAACCATTGACACCAATGATCTTTTCAGTAAGGAGGACATTCTTCCCATGGACCACTAGTGTAAGTTGACCAATAATATGAAATGTTTCTTCTCTATTGACCACCAACGTGAAGGGTCTCGTCTCTATTGACCGCCAACGTGAAGGGTCTCGTCTCTATTGACCGCCAACGTGAAGGGTCTCGTCTCTATTGACCGCCAACGTGAAGGGTCTCTTCTCTATTGACCGCCAACGTGAAGGGTCTCTTCTCTATTGACCGCCAACGTGAAGGGGTTCTTCTCTATTGACCGCCAACGTGAAGGGGTTCTTCTCTATTGACCGCCAACGTGAAGGGGTTCTTCTCTATTGACCGCCAACGTGAAGGGGTTCTTCTCCACTGGCCGCCAACGTGAAGGGGTTCTTCTCCACTGGCCGCCACCGTGAAGGGGTTCTTCTCCACTGGCCGCCACCGTGAAGGGGTTCTTCTCCACTGGCCGCCACCGTGAAGGGGTTCTTCTCCACTGGCCGCCACCGTGAAGGGGTTCTTCTCCACTGGCCGCCACCGTGAAGGGGTTCTTCTCCACTGGCCGCCACCGTGAAGGGGTTCTTCTCCACTGGCCGCCACCGTGAAGGGGTTCTTCTCCACTGGCCGCCACCGTGAAGGGGTTCTTCTCCACTGGCCGCCACCGTGAAGGGGTTCTTCTCCACTGGCCGCCACCGTGAAGGGGTTCTTCTCCACTGGCCGCCACCGTGAAGGGGTTCTTCTCCACTGGCCGCCACCGTGAAGGGGTTCTTCTCCACTGGCCGCCACCGTGAAGGGGTTCTTCTCCACTGGCCGCCACCGTGAAGGGGTTCTTCTCCACTGGCCGCCACCGTGAAGGGGTTCTTCTCCACTGGCCGCCACCGTGAAGGGGTTCTTCTCCACTGGCCGCCACCGTGAAGGGGTTCTTCTCCACTGGCCGCCACCGTGAAGGGGTTCTTCTCCACTGGCCGCCACCGTGAAGGGGTTCTTCTCCACTGGCCGCCACCGTGAAGGGGTTCTTCTCCACTGGCCGCCACCGTGAAGGGGTTCTTCTCCACTGGCCGCCACCGTGAAGGGGTTCTTCTCCACTGGCCGCCACCGTGAAGGGGTTCTTCTCCACTGGCCGCCACCGTGAAGGGGTTCTTCTCCACTGGCCGCCACCGTGAAGGGGTTCTTCTCCACTGGCCGCCACCGTGAAGGGGTTCTTCTCCACTGGCCGCCACCGTGAAGGGGTTCTTCTCCACTGGCCGCCACCGTGAAGGGGTTCTTCTCCACTGGCCGCCACCGTGAAGGGGTTCTTCTCCACTGGCCGCCACCGTGAAGGGGTTCTTCTCCACTGGCCGCCACCGTGAAGGGGTTCTTCTCCACTGGCCGCCACCGTGAAGGGGTTCTTCTCCACTGGCCGCCACCGTGAAGGGGTTCTTCTCCACTGGCCGCCACCGTGAAGGGGTTCTTCTCCACTGGCCGCCATCGGGAAGGGGTTCTTCTCCACTGGCCGCCACCGGGAAGGGGTTCTTCTCCACTGGCCGCCACCGGGAAGGGGTTCTTCTCCACTGGCCGCCATTCTTTGCAGAATTTCAGCCAGAGGTACTCCACGAAAAATTGGATGAGGCCTTCTTCCCTCAATAGTATCTCCAGCATTTTTATTTAGGGGCCAATTTGGAGAGGTTACAGACTGGAATTCTCCAGACCTTCACTCTTGAGATTTCTTGTCACAGAACTCCTAGGTAAAAGCACATGCCCTAATGTAGTTCCAGTTCCTCAAGAAGAGTTGGAACGGGCAATTTACTCCAGTTTTTCTGGAGAAAAAAAACATTGATAACATTTCTAAATCCTAAGTACCTGAACAGGTTCATCACTTACAAAAAATTTTAGATGGATTAATTACATTTCATCAGGAAAAATGATTCTACTAGATTGCTTTGTGGCATCCATAGACCCCAAAAATGGCTAATTGCATATACCCATAAGAGAAGACTCCTACAGGTTTCTACACCTCCCTGTAAGGATGGGAGGCAGAATTGTGCACCACTTTAGCTTCTCAGCTCCAACGGTCTTTACCAAAGTTATGGCAGAGGCCCGTGTCCCTCTTTACCTCAAGAGGATTTCATTAATATCAGACTTGGACGATCTTCTTCTGTGTTTTTGCATTAAGGTCAAATCTACAGATAGAATAGACTTCTTTCAGGAATTTGGGATTCTTACTAAATCTTGAAAAGGCAAACCTTATTCCATCACATACAGTCTATATTTCTTGCCTTGGTGATAGATTCATGCCAGCAGAAAATCATTCTTCTGGTAGGAAAGATGGAAAAGCTCTGTTTGATAATGTTTCTGCTTCAGTGAATGCTCCCTTTAGCTTATGCAAGATATTGTCAGCTCTAGGTATGTCATCCTCAATTCCAGCAGTTCAGTGGTCCAGACTGCACCTTCACCCTCTCCAATCTTTTTTGCTTTATCTGTACTGTGCATTCCCGTCTTTAAAACCCTTTCTGCAGGTGATAATGAAAACCTTGTTCTGATAGCCCTCCATTCTGGCCCAGGAGAGCATGGTTGTTAAACAGTTGAAACTAGCAGATGGTGGCCACCCTTCTTCAAGTTGTGATTTAAATAACTAGAGCGTTTTACTTTACAGTAGAGTATGGAGAATTGTTTTCCTCTTGGCGTTTCGAGAAAAATGTTAGCCTCTTTGCCACTATTTGTTCTGGAATTCTTGCAAGATGGATTTAATCAAGCTAGATCAAGGCCAGTCTTGGAGGAGAGCTTTCCGAAATGGGATGTCTCAATTGTCCTTCAGACTTTTACCCAGGAGCTTTTCAAGCCCTTGCCTATTGCCTCAACTAAGTTTCTTTTGCTCAAGACGGTGCTTCTTCTTGCTTTTAAATTGGAAGGCCAAGTTAATGAAATACAGGACCTTATCTTTTGATCTTTGTTGCCTAAGTAGTACTAAGTACGGACCCAGGTTTGTGTTTTTTTTTTAACTTCAGATGTCCTCAAATGTTCACTGTTCCCAGCATATTATCCTTCCCACCGTCTCTGAAAATCCTTCCTGCCAACAGGAAGAATCCTGTTTGTACTCTGAATGTGAGAAGATGTTTTCTGAAATTCCTTGATAGGTTCAGCAGTAAGACAGATGCTCTTTTTGACCAGTATGAAGGGTCAAGAAAGCCCAGAAGGCATCAGAGTTCCATTTCAAGATGGAACAAGATGGCAATCAGGGGAGCATATATGGCAATATACACTATATTACCGAACGTATTGGGACACCCCTCCAAATCATTGGATTCAGGTGTTCCAATCTGCTCCATGGCCACAGGTGTATAAAATCACGCACCTAGGCATGCAGACGCTTCTACAAACATTTGTGAAAGAATGGGTCGCACTCAGGAGCTTAGTGAATTCAAGCGTGGCACAGTGATAGTTTACCACCTGTTAAATGAAAAATGAAATTTCCTTCCTAGTAAATATTCCACGGTCAACTGTTAGTGGTATTAGAACAAAGTGGAAGCAACTGGGAACAACAGCAACTCAGCCAGGAAGTGTTAGGCCACGTAAAATGACAGAGCAGGGTCAGCGCATGCTGAAGCGCACTGTGCATAGAAGTCGACAACTGTCTGCAAAGTCAATATCTACAGACCTCCAAACTTTGTGTGGCCTTCATATTGGCACAACAACAGTGCTTAGAGGGCTTCATGGAATGGATGTCCATGGCCAAGCAGCTGCATCCAAACCTTACATCACCAAGTGCAATGCAAAGCGTCGGATGCAGTGGTGTATAGCACGCCGCCACTGTACTCTAGAGAAGTGGAGATGTGTTCTCCGGAGTGACGAATCACGCTTGTCTGGCAATCCGATGGACGTATCTGGGTTTGGCGGTTGCCAGGAGAACGGTACTTGCCTGACTGCATTGTGCCAAGTGTAAAGTTTGGTGGAGGGGGTTTATGGTGTGGGGTTGTTTTCCAGGGGTTGGACTTGGCCTCTTAAGGCATCAGCATAGCAAGACATTTTGGACAATTTCATGCTCCCAACTTTGTGGGAAAAGTTTGGGGATGGCCCCTTCCTGTTCCAACATGACTGCGCACCAGTGTAGAAAGCAAGGTCCATAAAGATATGGATGAGCGAGTTTGGGGTGGAGGAACTTGACTGGCCTGCACAGAGTCCTGACCTCAACCCGATGGAACACCTTTGGGATGAATTAGAGCGGAGACTGCGAGCCAGGCCTTCTCGTCCAACATCTGTACCTGACCTCACAAATGTGTTTTCTGGAAGAATGGCCAAACATTCCCATAGACACACTCCTAAACCTCGTGGACAGCCTTCCCAGTATAGTTGAAGCTTTATAGCTGCAACGGGTGGGCCAACTCAATATTGAATCCTACGGACTAATACTGGGATGCCATTAAAGTTCATGTGCGTGTAAAGGCAGGC